GGGGGGGGGTTGCGATGGGGGGGGTAGCATGTGGGATTGGCATTAGTGGGAAACTGCCCAGAAGGGGACACACGCCTCATCAACAAGGGTACCTGCATAAAGAGCATTTGTACACCTAACCCTGAATTGTACCCTACATCTTAAAAATAAAAATTAAAAAAAAAATTCCTACTTTTCTGGGTGTTCTCATTTAGAGAGTTGCTCTGACACATGCCATTATACTATAGCTGAAAGTCTATTTATTTATTTATTTGTTTGTTTTGGGATCTCACTCTGTCACCTAGGCTGAAGGGCAGTGGCATAATCATAGCTCACCATAGCCGCAACCTTCTGGGCTCAGGTGATCTTCCCACCTCAGTCTTTTGAGTAACTGGGACTATAGGCACGTGTGGCCACACCTGGCTAATGTTTTGATGTTTGTAAAGAGCTCTCGCTATGATGCCTAGGCTGGTCTTGAACTCCTGGGCTCAAGCAATCCTCTCACTTCGACCTCAAAGTGCTGAGATTGCGGGTGTGAGCCACCACATCCAGCTGAAAGCCTTTGATCTCCTTTTCAGTCAATGGAAAACCCACCTCTCCTTCCCACAGGAAAATGTCCTTCTTTTAACCTTTTTTTTTTTTTGAAAGCAGGATTTATTGAGAGGACAGAAAAGCTCCCGAGTGGGAGGGGACCCGAGGGGGTTGCCCTCCTTTTACTTTTTTATAATCCTCTTTTCTTTACTGCCTTCTCTGCAAACCCTCTTAGTTGTTCTGTGGACTTGGGCTTTTAGAAACAAGAGCTAGGGAGCCTCACAGATACTTCTGCTTTTTGATTTGCTGTATAGCTCCCCTAAAGCAAAACAAAAACAAAAATGAAAACAAAAACAAAAAACATGGCTACTCCCCCCTCCAACTCCTTGCGCTTAAATGGAAAGGAGGGGGAAAGAACGAATATACCATCCCTTGGTATCTCCAGATAGTTTCTGATAAACGTATATTCAGTTTCTTTTACTTGCTTTATCCTCAGTCCAGGGAAGTTAGGCTGGGTTGTCCTTCTCCCCATTGCTTTAGTCTTCACATATGGAGTATTGCTACATCATGTATTGAGTACTGCTGTGTCATCTATAGAGTACTGCTACATCATTTATTTAGTACTACTGTCATTTATTGAGTACTGCTGTCATTTATCAAGTACTGCTGTGTCATCTCTCAAGTACTGCTACGTCATCCATTGAGTACTTCTCTGTCATCTATCGAATACTGCTATGTCATTTACTGAGTACTGCTGTCATTTATCGAGTACTGCTACAACATCTATCGAGTACTGCTCTGTCATCTATCGAGTACTGCTATGTCATTTATTGAATATGCTGTGTCATCTATTGAGTACTGCTATGTCATCTATCGAGTACTGCTATGTCATCTATCGAATACTGCTATGTCATTTATCAAGTACTGCTATATCATTTCTCGAATACTGCTGTGTCATCTATCGAGTATTGCTCTGCCATCTATCAAGTACTGCTATGTCATTTATCGAGTACTGCTGTGTCATCTATCGAGTATTGCTCTGCCGTCTATCAAGTACTGCTATGTCATTTATCGAGTACTGCTGTGTCATCTATCGAGTCCTGCTATGTCATTTATCGAGTACTGCTGTGTCATTTATGGAGTTATTGCTAAGTCATCTATTGAGTACTGCTATGGGGCTTAGAGCTCAAGAGCCTGAGCCCATTAGACAAACTGTGTACAAACCCCAGCTGTTCCACTTTTGGTGGTTTTGGTTGAGTGTGAACTGGATGAGTAGCTCAATCTCTCTAAGCCTCGGTTTCCTCACCTGGAAAGCTGGTTCATAACAGTACCCTTTGAGGGGCCACTATTGGCATCTGGCTTCTCTCTCTGAAAAAGAGTTTTGTGCGTTCAAAAACTCAGAGACACAGAATGGGCCTTAAAGATGGTTTCCCCCTGCTGTCAACATACACCTTTTTTCTTCCTGTTGGCTGTCTTTTCTCCATTTGGGTACACATTTCCTCTCTGAGGGTTAGGACCCTGATGGGAAGACAGTTTGGCTTATGGTTGGAAACAGCCCACAGAGTCAGAATGGACCTCCATCCAAAGTGTGGCTTGGTTGTCAAGGCCAATGGTGCCTCACACATACTCGGCAATTGTAGGAAAAGGCTCATTACTCACATGGTGAGGCTTTCTGGGGAGAGCGGGACATGCTTCCTCCTCTGATCCAATAAAGGCCCGAGAGAGCAAGGAACAGACCGGCTTGGGGCTTTTCTCATGGTTAGGAGCGGGGTGGAGCTGGAGTGAGGGCTGGGCTCGACCCGGTTTGTACTTCCAGGTGGCGCCACAGGAGGGAGCGTCGGGATTTCTTATCAGCCTGCCCAGTCATGGGCCAGGAGGGGAAGAGGGAGGGGTGAGACTTAAGAGTGACCAGCCATCAAACATCAACAGATGGAGTTGCAGGTGAGAGTTTATAATCAACCTGCTGTGCATATAGATGCTGACTGGGGCTTCCAGCAGTTATGGACAGTATTGGCGGGGAAGGGGGGTTTATACATCATGTATACATTTATATATCACAACCCGGGCCTATAATATTTTAACCTGGTTTTCTACAGATGACCCCTTTCTACTTTTAACTCCAAGTCTGCTTGAAATAGAAAGGTAAACTTACATTTGTCTTCAACAGCACCCTGAAAAGTGAGAACCAGCTGCACTCTGGGATTTCCCTGACTTCCCTGGGTCCTTTTGGCCTTTGCTGACGTCTGACTCTGGGCCAGGAGGCGTAAAGGCTCTTGCTCTGTCCCCTGCCCTCGCCTCGTCCAGGCTGCTCCCAGACTAGTTTTCGTGTCCCTTCCCGCCTGGCAAGAACGTCTTTCCTATCATGTCCTTCCTTTTCCCTGGGACAGTCATCCTCAAGGTGTTTTGTGTGACTGTGATCGTGTTTCACTAGGGTAAGAGCTGGAGGAGGAAAACTCAATAAATTATAATGCCAAGAGGGAAAGAAAGTAAAGTGAGGAATACTTTTTTAAAAAACCATGTTTATCTCTGCTCAAACGGCAAGTTTCTTTTCTCCATTGTTTAAATTGAAACGTTAATATACACCTCTGTGCTTTCCAAATTTGTGGATTCATTGTCTTGTGCTAATTTTAATTTTATTTTTGTTTAGGTTTTACTGCCTCATATTCAACACAATCTTCCATTCCTTTTAAATTGCAAACGTCAATGATTCCAGAATCTGAAAAAAAAGGATTCAGTAGTCAAGCCAAGAGATTTTATCATAAGAAGGTAAGGACGTTGCCTTAGGGGTTCTTTAGTCTTTGTCTGGATTTCACCCTCATGGGACAGATGTCTCTCTGTGAACAGCAGGGGGCAGTGTCATCCAAGGAGCCCCAGCGTCTGCTCCACCAAGGGCACTGGCTGGATTGTAAGGAAGAGCTTGAAAAATAGGACAGCCAAGGACAAACCAGTGTCCAGGGTTATGCACCAAAAATACTGAGCTGGACCAAAACTATTTTTGAGAAAAAATGTATTTTCGAAAATCATTATAAAACTAAAACATTCCAAGAAATCCTAGGTGTGTCAATCAAGTAAAAAGTTAAAACAAAAATTCCTCCCTCTTATAACGTGAGAGGAAGTCACTTGACTTCGAATAACATGAGAAGAAAAAGAAGTCTAATACATTTAGAATGACCTTTGTGGCGAGGCCCGCACCCCTTTTAAAAACTCCCTTGAACAATGTGTTATTATTGCTCCTATACTCCCACTCACCCTCCCCCAAATCTCGCTTTGTCTTTTCCTCGTTTTTTTTGTTTGAGTTGGAGTCTCACTCTGTCGCCCAGACTGGAGTGTAGTGGACGCTCCCGGCCATCACTGCAGCCTCAACCTGCTGGGCTCTGGCGATCCTTCCGCCTCAGCCTTCCAAGTAGCTGGAACTACAGGCGCACGCTACCACACCCACCTAATTTTTTGATTTATTGTAGAGATGAGGTCTCACCAAGTTGCCCAGGCAGGTCTCGAACCCGCGGACTCAGGCAATCCACTCAGTCTTTTCCTCTTTAATCTGGAAAGTTCAACCTTTGGGGTCTGACTTTCCCCTCTCTCACCAGCAGGGGCTGAAGCAACTCACAGGCGTCCTTACAGAGTCCACATTTTTCACTCTGTATTCACAGAAGCAAGACCTTTAGAGCAGCATTCTTTGGAGAAGTCATTAGTTTAGTTACTTTTGCTGCCACCCAGAAGTGGGTTTCATCCTGCCACCTTGCCCAGGTGGTACATAGGGGCTTGGAGAGCTCGATTCTGAACACAGGTGAGGCGCAAGCTAAGGGGCCTCGTGAGCCCTGCGCCTTCAGCCCGATGCCTCTTGGTGAGAACGCTAAACTAGGTAATTTTTTATGTTTCTTCCACTTCTGCTGTTTTAGGATCCTAAGACGGCAAATAATAAAGAATAGAGTGTACACACATGGGCATACACGTTTTCAAATAACTTGTAGGCTTTCTCCAAAGACAGGGTATATTTGCTCGGGAGTTCTCTTTCTTCTCTCTCTACTTTCTCTATGTTTTAACTGTCTCTTTCCCTTATTCTGTCTGTTTCTCATTTGTCAATTTAATGATAATATATTGTCCCCATTTAACTCATCCCTACTATGTGTCAAATCACTTTAACACTAATTTCTAGCTCTAATCCTCAGGACAATGTGTAAGAGAAGGATTTATTATTTTAATTTAACACAAGAGGAAACTGAGGCTTAGGAAAATTAAATGACCCACCCAAGGTCACACAACGCAGGTTTTGGCACATAAGAGGCTCAAGATAAATGTTTACTGAGTCAACGTTGAAAGAATTAGACCTCAACCCAGGCCTAGCGCACTCCAAAGCCTCTTGCTCTTTCCACACACGGCACCACACCTGCCTTTGTGGCCTGCAAAGCCATAAATTTGGTCTATGAAAGTCAGCAAGTTTCTGGAAAGGCCTTAACAGAACAGACCAAGTTCAAGGCAGGGGAGGATGTCAGTTCGTGTGCATGAGCCCCATCCTCTGTGATCGAGTTCTGAAGACTCACATCCCGAAACCAAGCAGGCAGACTTTTAAAGTGAACATTTTAAAAGACGATTGCTTTTCAGAAAGTTTTCTACTGAAGAAGCCAAGGTGGCAGCCAGCCAGACCTACAGGCAGCCTCAAATATAGAGAGAAATAGCTCAGAAATTTAGTTCCAACTCTTCAAATGTGGTTGCATTCATTTGACAATGTGAAAACTTTCATCTAAGTATTTGTAACATTTTGTAAATAGGTATGGAAACGGCTTGGGATTCCTAAATCAGGCCCCCTGTGTCCTACTGTGTCACTAGCTGTGTGCTTTTAGACCAGTCACTTCCTTTTTCTGGCCATGAGTTTCCTCACCTGAAACATAAAATTTGGATTATATAATTTTTGAGGCTATGAAAACAGAAAAACAAGTGCATATTCCATTCTCATTCTCATTTTTCCTGAGGGAAACAGGCATTGAGAAGGTAAGGATCTTGTTAACATCACCCAATAATTTAGTGAGGCAATACAAATTAAAACCAGATTTTAAAACTCCAGGACTCACCACCATTCTCAAAGCATTAATCATCCTCACCTCGTGCCTGATCACCGACCGTGGTTGCACCTCATGTCAGTCCCATGGCCCACTTAGTACATCTCTGACGTGGAGAATCGGAGCCTTTGAAATGTGCACTCACCTGTCAGGTTGATGTCACAGTGAAACGTGAAGGCCTCCACATCCAGCACACATTCCCTGTCAGGATCTTACTGCTGGGCTCAAAGAATCCCTCAGAGCTCGGTGTCTGGACTGGCGATTTTGGCTGCTAGAAGTGAGGTCTGTTTCCCTGAACATTTCTGAGTTATTTACAGAGGTGCTGGTAACTTTGCATACATGAAGAGACATGCCTGATCTGTGTGACAGAGCAGAGCCTAGTAGCCTGCTGGATATTTTCTTCCCCAGCATCCTCGTTTCTATCCCCATTCCACCCTGGATTGTGATCACTGTTTCCCAAACTGTGTACTCCTAATGGCAACACAATCCAATGGCATCTATGATTCCTCATTTTAAAAGCAAGGGTGTTGTAATAGGTAAGCCGTTGCCAGGAATTACTTCTCCATTGTTTTAAACCTGATCTATTCCAGGCCTTAAATGACTGAATATGCAAATGAAGCTAGGATACGGACGCCATGTCTTCTAGATGGGCACAATTTTTTTTTTTTAGTTGGAGTCTCTGTCGCCCAGACTGGAAAGCAGCGGCATGCTCACAGCCACTGCAGCCTCAACCTGCTGGGCTCAGGCAATCCTTCCACCTCAGCCTTCCAAGTAGCTAGAACTACAGGCATACGCCATCATACCCGACTAATTTTTTGATTTATTGTGGAGATGAGGTCTCGCTCTGTATCAGTCACCAGTACCCCTTCCAAAAGTGCAGGGCACATTCCTGGTAATATCTATCAAACGCTCAGTGGCATTGACGACATGCCAGGCACCCCTTGAGGACCCTTGTTTTCGTCAACTCATTTAATTCCCACAATAACCCTGTGAGATAAACCCCATCATTATCCCTTTTCAGGTAATGACTCTGAAATGAAAAGTGAGTGAAGTAACTGCCCAACCAGGGTTGGCAGAGCAAAGAGGAACCCAGTCAGCAGCTTCTGGTCCCCAGACACGGCTTCCCCAGCATCTCCCCAGGGTGCAAGCAGCAGCCCCATCCTACAGCCCCGTCTAATACCCCTGGCCGCCTTCTACCTGGTATGGGGGTGACTTCTACCATCTGCCTGGGGTCTCCCTGGGCAGCAGGATTGGGACCACTGTTTCCTAAGCTGTCCTTTCCAGATCTGGTGAGTCCCTCAAAAGCAGACTGAGCAAATGAGCCCTACTCAAGCCTGTGCATTTCCTGAAATGTGCAGTGCACGCCCATTCATCCGGCACTGTCGCCGAATCGCTTTCACCCAGTCCCGGAACCTGTGAGCTGCAAACAGGCTTTGTCTGCATCTCCCACCCTTAGCACCCTGGCTGCCTGACAGCGTTCAATCATTGTCTGTTGAGTTGAGTTTTTACTCCTGTCCCATTCAAGGGACTCCAAAGGGCTGCTGATGAGGGAGAACCAGATTTAAGAAGAGGAGGGCACTAAAAAGAGGACCTGGTGGCCCTTTGAGGTATATGTGACTGATCTTGGCCAGTGCTTTGAATGCAGGTCTGTCTTCTCCTGTCTGACTGTTTCCAACCTGGGGAGGTCACTCCATTTCCAGTGTCACAGCCACCCTCACTTTCCCATATACCTACTCTTCACAGGCTAGACAAAGAAACATTCTTCAAGGAAGCAGTCTCCTCAACAGAATTCTCTCTAGTTTTCCTGGCTGCTGGGTTGGCACTCCCAGCGACCTTCTGTTTCTGTCATCATACCCTATTCTGAACAGAAAACGTGGAGTTTTCTTGCAGTCGGATGCTGCCTCTCCCTTTCCCCTGAGGTCACAGGTGTGGAAACTGATGCCAGGCACAGAGTATGGGATGAGGGAGGGGAGAGGCAGGATGGAGGATGGGCATCTGGCAAGGAGTAGGTCTCAGAGTCATGGCTGGACCAGAAGGACCACTGGCACCCTTTCTGCAACAACGTCTCATGCAGAAACCCATCTGTGAAACCGGCGAAGGGAAGTGCAGGTCGAAGCCATGCCTCCTGTGTCCCTGGGTTGCACGTGGAGGTCAAGAGCACAGCTTGAGAGCCACATGTCTCACCTGGCCCCTTGCCACCTCTCAGGATCACAGTGAGGGGACTGAGGCCCAGTGAGGGATGTGCCTTGGGAATATGCCAGTGCTCCTGCCTTCTGGTCCATACTCTCTTCCCCTTTTTGGTCACAACCAAACCGAGTAAAGGCATTCTAACCCTGGAAGTCAACAGGGCGATGGAGTATTGTCCTGAGACCCTAAGACCAGAAGTACTTGTAAAAGGAAACTTCGACTGGGCACAGTGGCTCATATCTGTAATCCCAGCAATTTGGGAGGCAGAGACGAGAGGATTGCCTGAGCCTGGGGCTTTGAGACCAGCCAGGGCAACTTGGCGAGACCTCATCTCTAAATTAAAAAAATGAAAAATTAGCTGGGCATGGTGGCATGTACCTGTAGTTCCAGCTACTGGGAAGTCTGAGGCTGAAGGATCTCCTGAGCCCAGCAGGTTGAGGCTGTGGTGGCCATGAGTGTGCCACTGCACTCCAGCCTGGGCAACAAAGTGAGACTCTGACTCAAAAAAAAAAAAAAAAAAAACAACAGGAAATTTCCTTCAGGAACTTGAGGTTTCTGTATGGTTCTGCCAGCAGATTCACTACAGGACAGGGCTCTGTCCTCCTTGGGCACCACCTGCTCCAGCTCATCACCTCCAACCCATCCACAAACTCCTCATTCCATGTGTTTTGTGCTCTCCTGAGAAATGCCAGCCAGCCACCCTCCAGTAGACCAGAGTAAGGGGGGACAGTGCCGGAGAGTCAAAAGGGAGGTCTAGTGTGATCTTCAAAACAGTTCAACAGAGGCCACATTTTCCAAGCTAGAAAATGGTTTGACAAACAACTGACCTTATAAACATGAAGGTATCAGTTAGAATTTATGAAATCAGGACTAGAAAATCCAGGATGCATGGAGATGTAACAGGCCCTGGCCTATGGGACATTGCGTCCTCCTGGGCCCTGTGGAGACAGCTGGGGTGGGGAGGGAGGCGCCCTGCTCCTTCTTCCCCTCCTCATGTTACCTGTGCAAACCTAGCCCAAGGTCAAGTGAATGTGGATGGTTGTCCCACTCTCGGCACATGCAGAAGCCGCCCACCCAGGACTTCTATCCTTCCATTGGCGTTTCAACTGAATGTTGCACAGTGGGAGGGTACAGGAACACACTTGACCAGTCACCTCTTGTTCAGTTCCACCCTGAAGACTCCAAGAGAGGGTACTGGCTCCACAGAGGCTGTTGTGGGCACACGAAGGGTATTGATGGTGATGGCGGCCTGCTGTGGCCCTGTTCTGCCCCCTTTCGTGAATTGACCCATTTAATCCTCACACTACGAGGCAGGCAAGGGAGACCATAGGTGTGGCTTCCATACTGGGCCTCAGCAGAGCTCTCCGTTGGCTTCAGAGAGCTCCCATAAACTTGCATTCTCTTCCCTTCTCCCTCCCCAAGCCCATTTTTGTTTTGCTTTGTATATTTGGTTTTTGCCTTCTGAGGTGGTCTCGGCCAAGAAACTAAGGGGTGGCTAAGTTCACACCAGTCACAACTTGGCAGCTTGTTCTCTAGGATATGCTCTGAGAGGCCTGAACTCATCAAAGTCACATGATGTTTGTCACACCAGCTGTTATCCCTCCCAGGGAACCATCTACTGGCCTCTGGAAATTGCAGAGAATGCTTGACATTTCCTCACAGAAACACCCTGGGGCATGGCCTGAGGTGGTGGGATGCTGGCAAGCCACCATTTGCCTGCCACAAAGAAAAGTTCTGATGAGGGGTATTGGCCAATTTCCATGGTGTAAATACTCGCACTCTGACCAGTTTCAAGCTACCACCAGCAAAATTTCTGAATTTTAGACAGATGTCCTCACAAGCTGCCACAGGTTGGCCCCAGGGTGCTGCTGCCTGGGGGACCCTCCAGGTCATTCAGTACCAGCAGACAGGCAGCCCTCTAGTCCTCCAGGCTGAGAGGTGATAATCTTCTTCCCACTGCCCTGGACTCAAGCCAGTTTGCAACCTGGCAGAATTAAAGTCTGGTTGAGACCCAGTAAGGTTGTCAGCTTTCACAATAAAAATACAAGATACTCAGGTAAATTCGAATTTCAGGTAGACAGCAACTTTTTAAGTAAAAGTATGTCCCAAATATTACATGGGATATTTGTTGTTTATCTGAAATTCTAATTTAATCAGGCAGCGGGATGGAGCAGGCATTCAGGTCTTGCATTTTATGTGGCAGCCTGAGCTTCTCAGACACATGCATTCTCAGAAAATTCTTGTGAACTGATGGCAAGATTAAGAGTGTGGGGACAAGCAGGGCCCGGTGGCTCAGCCTGTAATCCCGCACTTTGGGAGGCTGAGGTGAGTGGATTGCCTGAGCCCGCAGGTTCGAGACCTGCCTGGGCAACTTGGCGAGCCCTCATCTCTACAATAAATCAAAAAATTAGCCAGGCGTGGTAGCGCGCGCCTGTAGTTCCAGCTACTTGGAAGGCTGAGGCGGAAGTATTGCTGGAGCCCAGCAGGTGGAAGCTGCGCTGGCCGGGAGCGGCCACTGCACTCCAGTCTGGGTGACAGAGTGAGACTCCAGCTCAAAAAAAAAAAAAAGAGTGTGGGGACAGACTGGGAGCTGGAGATATGTGTCTCTACTGTCCACTGTTTAAACCTGGAAGAGTCATGGTGGGTCGGGTACCTGTAATCCCAGCATTTAGGGAGGCCAAGGCGAGAGAATTGCTTTGAGCCCAGGAGTTTGAGACCAGCTTAGGTAACATAGCAAGACCTTGTCTCTACAAAAACTTTTAAAAATTAGCTAGACGTGGTGGTGTACTCGTGTAGTCCCAGCTGAGATAGGAGCATGGCCTGAGTCCAGAATGTTGAGGAGGCTGCAGTGACCTGTGATCATGCCACTGCCCTCCAGTGACACTTCATGCTTCAGCTTCCTTTAGGTTTAGAGACTCTGGAAGCTCAAAAGCACCCCAAGGCCCAATGCTTTGGATTTACAAATAAGACAACTAAAACCCAGGGGGATAAGTTGCCCAAGATTTCTTAGCTAGTAGCAGTGCTGAAACTAGAATTTTTGACTCATAACCCAGTGGGCTTTGAAATTTGGTCTCAATCTCATTTGAGAGTTAGCTCAAATTTTTTGGTCAATAGTGGACTCTGTGGTGAGAGTGCCAGTGTTCCCATTCTGCTCTGATATTTACTAGTTGTGTAACCTTGGGCCTTATCTCTTTGGGCCCCATTTTCCCATCTTTAAAGTGGAGATTAATTAAGCTAATAGTACACGTGAACTGCTCAGAACAGTGCCTGGCACACAGTGAGCACTCAATAATTGATGCTGGCCCTGCAAACAGCTGCCTGGAAAATTCTCTGTTTCCCTGTAGCCCTCAAGTCTGCATCCATACACCAGCATTCTTCTGAACCTGGAGCGCTCAGCGCCTGGCTCTGCTGCCTTTCTCACTTTCTGTCTCCGGCAGTCAGTTCCCCTTCTGTGCACCAGGATCATTATCACCTAAAGCAGGGATCGGCTCTCTTGTCCTCTCTGCCATGGGGCAAGGGTCAAAGGATTCACGGCACCTAAATGTTAGCACAGAGGAACCTGTTAACAGCACTGTGGCCCTATCCCTTATATTAAACCATAATTACACACTGGCCCAGCCAGACTGGAAAGTCCCCGAAGGCACTGACGGTGCCTTGAGTTTGCTCTCTACCCCGAGGAAAGCAGCAGGGATGGTGGAGACAGGATGAGCGTGGGTAGCAGAGATTGGAGATAGCAAGCGCTGGAGTCAGGCTGCCTGGGTTCTGATCTGGAGTCCACAACTCATGTCATGGGCCTCACTGTCCTTTAATGGCCCTGGCAATACCTCACTACAGAGGGCTTGTGTGAGGAGTAAAGAAGACAGCATATACCATGAGTCTGGCACTGGATTCAGGTTCTGCCACTCGAAACAGTGAGACCTTGGGCAAATTCACCTTCACGTGCCTCAGGGTCTCCATCAATAAAATGGAGACAGTAATCTCTCACTGAGTGGTGGTGAAAATGAGACGAACTTTAAAAAGCTCCTGGTACCAAGGAGGCACCCGGTGAACTCTTGCAACAGCAGGGCATCCTTGTCATTTCACGCCACTTGCTTGGCCAACTTATGTCAACATTTACTTCCCCCTGGTAACTACGTGGGAAATGGGTTGAAAGACCAATTAGCTGCAGCAGCAGGAATGGGCTTAGAACTCCACTGTGTCTTCTCCTCTCTCTCCAACATGGCATGGCACTTGGCACTTGAGCCCTGTGAGCTTGCTCCTTTTTGTCTGAGGGTTAGACATGGTCTTGCTTGGGATGAAGGTTGTTTTTGTTTCATTTTGCTCTATAAACAGAAACACTCCCTGATCTCTCCTCTGAAAAGCTGAGGAGGAAGCTGAGTCAGGTGGGTGGGGTTGCCGTGAAGTGGGCCACCCTTCCCTCGCGTGGGTGTGGCTTGCTGATCACGGCACACAGGACTTGCACATCGGCCACAGTGACTATCCCATTTATGCTCATTTCGCTAAAGACATAAAAAACAAAACAAAACAGTGTTCTTTGGAACTTGGAATGCAGAGTGGAAAGAACAAGGGCTTTGGAAGCCCGAGTCTGGGTTGGAATTCCAGCCCCAGAACCTGGTAGCAGAGATGAAATTGGGCAAGTGAGGAAATGGTGGAGCGGGGCTGTCATTGTCAAGTGGTGGCGGGTGACCATCCTGAAGGATTCGGCGAGGCTTTGTGTTCATGGATGTGAAACATGTGGAAAAGCGCAACAGAATTGAATGTATCCCGATGATGCCACCTTCTCTTCCGTTTTAGGAGGATGTCCCAGGCCCTGGGTTCTACAATGTCATTCACCAGTCTCCAGTATCCAACAGTGTCTCGCTGTCCAAGAAAGGAACATGCATGTTCCCCTCTATGGTGAGAGCCACTTCTCTCGAGTAAGGTGTTCACTGATCAGTCATTTCCCTCACTGATTGCATCATCACATATTGGACATCTTGTCCCTTCTCTCCAAAGGCCTGTGGTTCTAACGATTAGGAGACCTGTGAGTGGAGGAGGGGCTGAATGTGAAAGTCACTAAAAGAGGGGAGGAGATGGGAATTCTCAGCTGGTTCCCACAGGAGCATGGGAAGATGCAGGAAGCTGTAGACAGAGCTCCGCTGCCAAGGAGTGCAACATAAACCAGAGCCTCACCTGGGTTCGGCTCTCAGCTCTGCTGCCTTCCTCTCCCCCATGTCACTAGTGGACCACAAACCAGCTCCCAGGACCATCACCACTAAGCAGCGGGAAGTGTGGGGCCCTCATGCCTCCCTCAGGCTCCCCCATTTCTGTGCTTGTACAGTTCTTGACCCATGTCAGGCAGAGAAGCCCAGGGTAATGTTTGCAAGCTTTTAACCATTAAATAATGGGACTTTTTTGTTTGTTTGTTTAATTCCCTCAGAATCTTGGGATCCAGAAATCTCAAGTGGGTAAATTGGGCCTTGTGTCTTTGAAGGCTTTTCCCCACTGCCACCCATTGTCAGAGTGGGAAGAGAAGCCAGAGGAATATTCAAGCCTGATCATCCAAAACCAATGTTGCCATCATGAAGTGGACTAGGCAGGTGTCTTCCTGAGATTTTTAGGCAGACCAGGAAGATGTTACTCTTGCACATCTTGCCCTAATGTGATTTTACACAGCTTAATCTAATTGAGTTGTCAAACCTTTGGGAAATCTGGTGGGACTGAAAAGAAAGCAGGCGGTAGGCGTGAAGTGTAGTGGTCCTGACCCACATCCTCCTGTAAGATGTGGGACTCTATCTTTGTTGAGGGCTTCAACAACCAGATCACTATATGAAGTGCCAATGACCCTGACCAGACTTGGGCAAGGATAGCCTTTTCATTTAAAATATTTACAAATTGTTGGGCCAGGCACAGTGGCTCATGCCTATAATCTCAGTACTTTCAGAGGCCAACGTGGAAGGATCGCTCGAGGCCAAGAGTTTGAGACCAGCCTGGACAACATAATGATACCTGTCTCTACCAAAAAAAAAAAAAATTAGCTGGGTGTGGTGGTGCTCCTGTATTCCCAGCTACTTGAGAGGTTAAGGCAGGAAGACCACTTGAATCCAGGAGTTCAAGGCTGCAGTGAGCCATGATTGTGCCCCTGAACTCTAGCCTGGGTGACAGAGTAAGATGTTGACTCTGAAATAAAATTGTCAAAAAAAGTAGAGGTCAGGCATGGTGTCTTACACCTGTAATCCCAGCACTTTGGGAGGATGAGATGGGCGGATCACTTGAGCCCAGACTAGCCTGGGCAACATAGTGAGACCTCATCTCTACAAAAAAATAAAAACAAAAACAAAATTGCCTGGGCGTGGTGGTGTGTGCCTGTAGTCCTAGCTACTTGGGAGGCTGAGGTGGAAGGACTGCCTGAGTCCAGGAGGTCAAGGCTGCCATGAGTTGTGATCGTCATGATCATGCCACTGGACAGAGTGAGACCCTGACTCAAAAAAAAATAAAAAAAGGAAAGAAAGAAAAAGAAAAAGAAAAACAGATATAATAAAAATAGATAAATTGTTAAGAAAATAGTTATAGCAAGAGGAAAGAGTCAAACTGGGGTAAGACTAGCTGAGGTAGAAAAGTAAAAAAGAAAGCAAACCCAGACTGCAACATTAAATACATATGCCTTCTTGTCCCTTTAAAGTTATAATAATCTCTTGCATAGATGCATTATGGTGCTTGACGTTGGAACTGATTTTTTAAAAACCACACAAAGGAACCATTTAGGACACACTGAACGTAGCCACTTCTTACTGGAATTTGAGTTTGGCAGAGTTGGATACTCAGAACAAACCAGCTTTGGTGTGAACTCCCCATTACCAAAGGAGTGGAGGCTGCCTGTGACCTCAATGAGTTCACATAGCAGCCACGCCTCTGCGTAGTTTTCTGCTACCAGCCCTGCTAGGAGAGAGACTCAAGAGCAATTGGCAATGAAGTGTCATCTCACAAAGTCCTGGCACAGGAGACAAGACTTGAGACCTAATCCTGACTCAGCTGTGGGCTCTCGACGTGACCTCAAGCACGTCACCCCTCTGTGTCCTACTTGCCTCATGAAAGTGGAGACTCCCTGGAGGCACTGGGTAAATGAACGTTGCAATGAGTGAAATACTCTTTGAAACAGCAAAGCATTGTAAACACGCTAAATATTATGATTGTTACCACCTGAGTCACGAACAATACTTCCTGCAACACCTAGGTTTTCTCTCCGAGAAGTTCTTTGCCAATTAGTGGCACTGCCCATTCCTTCTTGGTGCCAAGAAAGGGACAGAATCTGAGCATATGATCAATTTCCTACTAGGCTTTTCTTGACGTAACTTTCCAGATAGGAAACTTCTCCATGGCTGGGCTGTATAGAGGAGAAGGGACCCAAGGAAAGAGCTCAGTGTTCTAGAATCGGATCATGCTTTTTGGGGCTTTAGAAAATTCAGAACCAAACCCCAAAGCAGGCAGATGTGGAGCTGTTCAGCCTTCCTCCTCTCCTCCCTTTGACAAATATGGGAATTTGTCTTTATATTCATGCTACACTTGAGCGTAAACACGTTCTTGTATCCTTGGACGGGGCCTAAGTGGTCTCTGGTGACCTGTCAGGAAAGCCCTGATTCTTACCTAGTTCCTGTATAAACTGGATGAGAATGTCATATCCTCACCCTCTTTTAGGGACTTTCACATTTAGCACCTCCCCCACATCTGAATCCCAAGACTCTGAGGGAGTTAAATGTAACTCTCATCAGAGAAGGATCGCAATGACCAGGAAGAGTGTGATCATGGGTGAGGCCGACCAAAAGGCTGTGGGTCTATAAATTTTAGAAACTTCCTGATGACTGTTGGAACAACTACACCCAGCCTTTTGAGGACTTGTCATCTCTCTAAGTCCAAATGATATAAAGAGCTTTATTAATGTATCCCAAATCTTTGCTCCAGAAGTTTTCAGAGGACTGGCTAGAAAGTTAAATGAGGCAGGTTGGTGGAGACTTTGATGGCCTTTCTGTATTTATGTGGAGGCAGGGATGGTTCTGGAAAAGTTGTTTTGTACTGGAGAGGGGTTCATAAATGCCAGCATATGGCCAGATTGGAGACCACAGGCCTGGCAGGTAAACCAAGGGGTGTGCAGTGTTGGTCAGTGGGTGCTCCTTCAGCTGCACCTGAAACTCATTCTATTACAATACTAATTTATAAAACTTTGCCTCTACTGGGAATTTTTTGAGAATATTTTTTTCCCCAAATTTAAGTTAACTGGTGTTCCAAGCCCCAAAAGAGTCTCTGATGGAATAAGCTTGCTATTATTCCGGGACCATGCCCCTCCACCCACTTCTCTTGAGAATGGGCTGTCTGATTCGTATCACACAGTGGAGGCAGACCTCCTGGGTGAGAAAGTGCGTCCTACCTACTTAGCTGAGGAAGCTCAGCCTCCTCATCTGTAAAGTGGGGGTAACAGAACATCCATTGCTCAGGGTTGCCATGAGGATTAAACACAAAAGAGTTTAAACCACGAAAAGTGCGTGGTTAACTCTTGGCCAGAATGCAAAGGGAAAGCATATACAAGGCTGCAGCGGCCTTACTTCCGGGGACATCAGCAGGTACTTACGGTCAGAAGGAGGCAGAGCTAGGACTTGAACCCAGGTCAGGCTTAGAACAACTTGGGGTCTAGGCAAGAACCTTCCTGCTGCTGAGGGTCCACCCACCCACATGCCACTGTGGTCTGAGAACCATCGCCACCAAGCGCAGGGTGAAGTGAGGGGCCTGAATGTCTTCCCTGGGCTCTCCCACTTTCTGTGCTTGTATAGTTACCCCTATCAGGCAGAGAAAACCCAGGGCGATGTTCTCAAGATTTTAACCATTGAATACTGGAAAATTTTCTGTTTTATCAGACTCTACTACTTGCTATGCTATCTTAGGGTAAAGTGATGTTATCGCTGAGTTTCTGTGACTTTTGTACCTGTTCATTTGACAAACATTGATTCTGTTTGTTTTTTTTAACTTAAAATAGTTTATCATGGCTTCCGGAAAGGAGTGGGAATGGTTCTGTTGAACAGCAGAAATATTGTAAGGTTTTAGGAAAGTAATTTGGCGGTAGGAGGAAGCATGGTTGGACAGCAAGCCCAGTGGCCTCTTGTGCTTCTAAGATGTTTGCAGCAAACTCGTTTAAGCAGTTCAGACCATTTACCCTTAGAAACAAGATGTGGGGTTTTACCTAGAAGGAAAGCCTAGGCTGGGGGAAAACAGTCCAACATTCCCATTGCTATGTTACCCAGCAGCTGATGAGTCAAGTGGAAGTGACCTGGAATAGGGTTGGGTGGAAATGTATTTATGGCAGCATCATTTTTTGCCAAGTCCCAAACAGAAGATGAATAATTTCAGTTAGTTTATAGAAGTCAGTACAGGTCTGAACTTGCATTTTCAAGGGCAAATCCTCAAAGTCTGAGGTCAGTTTATCATTTTATCTGCTAGAGTTTTACCTTTTCTAAAATGCTTCTAGACCTGGTGCTGGCACCACTTTTTTGACATCTGTCCTTTAGAGCCACATGATTACGGGATGGTGCTGATGTCTTTGGCTTCCTCTTCACAGCGTGCCCGATTGGACACCATCACGTCCAGATACCCTGCAGCTAATGCATACACTATCCCATCAGATTTTACTTCGAAGAAGGACTTCAGTAATTCCTGTTCCAGCATGTTCCAGTTGCCAAGCTTCATGAAAGTTCTCAAACTTGAAACTCCTGCACCAAACTATTACAATGTAAGAACACTGCTTGCTAAACGTATATTAAATACATGGTTTACTACAATAAAAGGAAGGGAGGACTTTGGGGAAATGGCATTTTAATGCCACTGGTAAAGCAGTTAGCATTCGTTGACTACCCAGTGGGTGTATAAGGTTCTGCAGGACTCTTATGGGGAATTTGCCGACTCCAGGGAGAAGTGTGGGGCCAGCATGAAGCAGCGGGGAGACAACTGCCCTGAGGAATATGTTTTCGTATCACTCTTGTCATATAGCCTTTCAGGAGCAGTTTTCGCACCTGTAACATCGTATCTGCAGACACTATTCATTCACTTTTAAGGTTCTTTTAGGGAAGATAAGTTTCTACCCTTTCATGTCAGAGAATTGGTTTTTTTGCTTTTTTTTTTTTGAGTTGGAGTCTCACTCTGTTGCTCAGACTGGCGTGCAGTGGCCACTCCCGGCACCACAGCCTTGCCTGCTGGGCTCCGGCGATCCTTCTGCCTCAGCCTTTCAAGTAGCTGGAACTACAGGGGCGCGCTACCATGCCCGGCTAATTTTTTGATTTATTGTAGAGATGAGGTCTTGCCAAGTTGCCCAGGCAGGTCTCGAACCCGCGGGCTCAGGCAATCTGCTCACCTCGGCCTTCCAAAGCGCTGTGATTACAGGCTGAGCCACTGAGCCCGGCGAGAATTGGTTTTTTAACATTAGTGCTTCACCAGTTATAATCACTTGGTATTCACTGAGGCAGAATGGTATGGATAGTTAAGAGATGGATTCAGGAAGGTTTGGTTCGGCTTTTGACTTAGCTGCTTTATAACTGTATGGCCTTGGGCAGTTCCTTTTCAGGACTTAACTTATTGATCTGCAAAATAGGGACACAGGTCCCTCTCATGGTGTTAATACAAATATTAAATGAGATTATCTATGCTGCGTGCTCAGCACAGCATCAGGCACCCAAGGAACAGATGCAGCAGAATACATGGAAACTGATGGAGCCATCTTGGGGCAAGTCACATTGCCTCTTAAAGCCGCAATTCTAAAGTCGAATTAATTATACTTGCCCTACAGGGTTATCGTAAGGAGCAAATAAGACAGTGAACATGAAAGCCTCTGACATGTGTCCAAACTGAACTGCACATAAGATATTAACGTTATTATGCCATAGTGCAAATGATTTTTTGTCTTAAAATACTTCAATTACCTTTTTTCCTTCACAGTTCTTATGAATAATATTTATTTTTCTGTCTACAAAGGTTATGCCTACCTTCTCTGATGGGCTCAAGCAATTATAATGTGCTCAAAGTGATATAATTGCCTACCTGGCCAGCACAGTCCACTAGAAATCTCATGGGAGCCACTGATGTCATTTAAGATTGCCTACTAGTCACATTTAGAAAGAAATAGGAGCAGGTCAGATTTTTAATAATATAGTGGTTTAACCTAGTAGATCCAAAATATTGTCATTTTGACATTAATCAACATAAATAATATTAATTAGATATTTTGGGAAGATTCTTCTTCTCATACTAAGTTTTTAAAATCCAGTATATATTTTATACTGACAGCACATCTTAATTTGGACCAGCCACATTCCAGGTTCGATAGCCACATGTGGCCTGTGGCTACTGTACTGGGCAGTGTGGCCTCATAGAGTCTTCCAGGGATAATCAGAACCTGAAAGTGATGAGGAGGAGGAGGAAGTGTTTGTCATGGACTAAGTGCTAGTCTAAGAGTTATGTATTCACCATATTTTATACTCACAAGTGTATCCATGAAGTGGATTATCTTATTCCCAATTTACAGAAGAGGAAGCTGAGGCTCAGAGAGGTGAAGGGACTTGCCCAAATTTACCCAGTTTGGAGGCATCAGTTGCACATCAGTGGGCACAGGAGGGTGACTGACGTGGAAAGTTGGGGAATGATCAAAGCACCCTATTCTGGCCCTGCAGGCTTCCCTCCCCGGGTTCTATTACTGCTCTGTGCCACGCTGGTGATATGGCTAAGATTCCAGTGGAGAACTCAGGCGAGAACCAGTAAACAGACAAACAAAATAATTATAAACTGTGGTTGGCTTTGAGGGAGACAAACAGTTGGCTCCTGAGAGAAGATCCAACTATATCTGTAGGGAGTACAGGGGGCTAGCATTACCACGTACTTTGGACCTGAGACTGAGACCCAGAGATTGAAGGAAGAGCCAGAGTTGGGGAAACAGCATGTGCAAAGGTCCCGGAACAGCAAGGATCTTAGCTCATGAGAATCTACAAGAAGGTTGAATGGCTAGTGTAGCATGGACCAGAAGGAGAGGGGAGGAGGGGAGGCCACACAGACGGGCAGTGACCAGTTCAGGCAGGGTCTAAAGACCCCAGAGGATTTTCATATTTTGTTATTTGTGTATCAGGAAGCCATGAGGGATGGGAGGTGTGAACTGGCATGCTCTGATATGCTGTTTTAGAATGTCCCCTCCAGCTGCTTGTGGAGAATGAACTACAGTGTGGGCTAAAGTTCTGGAAGACACATGAGGGACTGTTATACTAACAGGAGAGGGCAAGATGTGGTCCCAGAAAGTAATAAAGTGCTTGACCACTTCTGAAAAGGGACCAGGCCACATGGGTGATAGACAGTAATAACACTGTACCAAAGAAGAGGATTCTGCCTGTGTGGTGCCTCTGCCATGTCCTCGCGTTAGAGGTGCCTGAGTCGTCCTCCCAGCTCCTACTCCTTCCCCCGGCTCCCTACCTCCAGCACCCAGCACAGGTCCTGGAGTGCAGTGAGCATGCACTAGGTGTTTATGACGTCAAAGAGACAACTTCCCAGTAGACAGACGTTAACCTAGAAACAGCCACTTCCATGTCACATCAACTTGAGGCTCATGTTTTTTGTTCATTATTGTCTTAATGTGACTGACAATAACACATGCTCATCATAAAATATTCAGGCACTAAAAACCCATGAACTAGAAAGTCCCCCAGAAATCCACTCTGGAAGCAAACCACCACTCCATCCCGCCATCAGAGTCAGAACACGCTGCACACGGTTCGTAGGCATTTTCTTCTTAACTACGTCTTGGGATTCTCTCATGGCAATACAGTAAATCTGCTCCATTCCTTTCTATTTATTTATTTATTTTTGAGTCAGAGTCTCACTCTCACCCAGGCTGGAGTGCAGTGACATGCTCACAGCCACCACAGCCTCCGCCTGCTGGGCTCAGGCGATCCTTCCACCTCAGCCTTCCAAGTAACTGGAATCACAGGCATGCACCATTACACCCGACTAATTTTATGATTTATTGTAGAGATGAGGTCTTGCCATGTTGCTCAGGCTGGTCTCGAACCCCTGAGCTCAGGCAGTCCTCTCACCTCTCTCCCAAAGTGCTGGGATTACAGGAGTGAGCCACCAAACCCAGCTGTACTTCATTACTTTTTAACCTGCTAAATATTTTCCTGGTCTAACTGGGAAGCCTTCCAGGGACACACACATTTGTGTATACCCAGATGCCCCCTTTTCAGTGGCTTTTCTGTCTGGCTGAAGAAGAAGGCTGAAGTACTGTTTTGTCTACAGGAGGTTTTTTTTCAGACCGGGAGAACAATGGCTGAGCCGACAGGCGAGGAGTAGAAATGTGATAATCTTGTTAGCCACGCTGTGCTTTGGGGGCCGTGAGGCCTTTCACCACCTTTGCCACCGTGATCCCCCGCTTGTATATTCGAATCCTCTTCCTTGGTACCGTGTTATTAGCTCCTCACCGGCAGCCTGGCTCCTCTCCTGTCGGGTAATTAACCTGTCCCATCTGGTTTCTTTGTTTGTCCTCTCTGCATGTAGTCTAGCCATTAGGACCCTGGGAAAAGCTAAATTCCTTCACCTTTGTAAACACAAAATCAAAATGCCATCTGCATTTCTTGCGATATGCTTTTTTTTTTTTTTTTTACAAAGGAGTATCACAGAAAATCAAACCATCCTGGCCCCAGCAAATAGTTTCACTCATTCAGTAAATATTCCCAGCGATCGCATGTATAATTTGCATTGCCTGTTATCCAATGAGTGCAGGAGACTGACTGCAAATTGGCATTTAAAATATTTATGATTCATGTGTAACAGAAGAATGATCTGAATGATCTCAGGGCATTTTTTTCCCCTATTATTTTTAGACTACTGAGCACACCAGACACTCTCAGATGTGTATTGCATGGATCGGCCAAAATTCTTGATTTCTGGTCAGTCCAGAAAAGTAGAGACAAGGGAGTGCTTACAAATCTGATCACAATCCTAAATGATAAGATTCTCTGTATGCCCCAAATGCTGCATTTATAGAAGGACTGTTTGAACAGCGAGGAATGCACCTAGGTATCTGGATGGGGGTAGATGGAACTAAGTGTCCTGAAAAGACAAAAATAGTAGAAAAGAGTAATGAAAACAATGTGCACGTGTAGTGCTACACACTTAAAAACCAATTTCCTGTAGATGATATCTGCTGGCCACCCCCGCCCCCCTCCTTGGCTGAACTCTGCAGCAAGCGTCTGGGGATTGATGATCCGATCTGTTTTACAGACGAAAAAATGCAGGTTCAGAGAGGTTGAACGATGTGTGCAGAGCTGCACAGCCTGTCCTGGGCAGAAAGGAGCCTGGAGGCTGGGTCTGCAGGCTGTCTTTTCCGGGTGCTGTTGTCTGTGCTGGGTTGAGCGACCAGACATTTGTGGGAATCACAAGCCCTTGAGCGGGGATGTTGAATGGTGACAGCAGTCAGTGTGACCTCAACAGCTCACACCTGCTCGTCTTCTAAGGACAGGTTTCGGTTTGGGTTTTGACCGGAATTTGCCACTTGTCCAGCATGATGGCCAAGAAGGGGAAGGCACTGAGGGCACTCTCTTCCTTCAGGCCTCCGTCTCGTGCTGCAAGCAGAGGAACAACGTCTGTGCCCGGGCCGGGTTTATGTCCAAGACTCAGAGAGGATTTTTCACTGTTACTGAGAAAGGACCTGCCCCAGGTAAGCAGCTGCCTGACCCTGGCCTTGGCCCGAGGGTTTGTGTCCCAGATTCCATTTGCAGAGCACCTGTCTCTTCCCAGGGAGTCTTTTGGGAAGGGATCAGTCTTTGGGGGAGTAGGAGGAGGAAGCAGTACTGAACAGGGAGGAGAGGTAAGAGGAAGTCCAGCTCTCCCCTTGCAGGGAACAGTGCTGGCTCTGGAAACACTCTTTCCCACCCCCTAGCAGTCTTCTTGGCCTCCCCATTCAAGGCCAGGCCTACCTGCTGTGGGCAGCCAGATGGGGAAGTAGCTTCTCACCTCAGAAGTGTGCAAACTCACATACTCCAGGGTCATCGCACGCCACTGGCAGGAAGGGAGATGGGGGCATGACAATCCATCCTGATCCTTCCACACTCGCTGCCATATTCCTTTCCTCCTATGCCTAGATGCCACTCCATCACCAAGCCATAGAATGGTGAAAAGCCCGCTCACTGATTACTCTGTGCGGAATGTTGTTCATGCAGTCTCACAGGCTGTCCTCATAGTTCATACACTTAGCCCTGTTATCATCATCATTATTATTTTTGAGTTGGGGTCTTTTTACCCTGTTGCCCAGGCTGGAAAGTAGTAGAATGATCACCGCCTACTGCACCCTCGACCTCTTGGGCTTGTGATCTTTCTATCTCAGCCTCCCAAGTAGGTGGGACTACAGGCATGTACCACCACACCCAGCTAATTTTTTTATTTGTTATGGAGACAAGGTCTTGCTATGCTACTCAGGCTAGTCTCAAACTCCTGTGCTCTAACAGTCCTCCCGTCTTGCCTCCCAAAGTGCTGGGATGACAGGCATGAGCCACCATGCCCAGCCTAGCCCTGTTTCTTAGATGAGGAAATGGAGGCTCAGGGAGTTAAAACCGTCTCACAGTCAGGAAATGGCAGCCCTAACCCCAGAGGTGTCTGACTAAGGAGACTGTCTCCCCCATCATTCCATTGCCCCTTTCGGAACCCAAGGGTTCAGGACTATGGGAGAACTTGCCTGCGCCTGTCGTCCCTGCTGGTCTTGGGAAGGTGTTGCCCCCTCCTGTGCCCTCAGACCCCCAGTCCCTGGCAATTGTTAGAGTAGATCATCCCAAGTGGGTCCCAGAGACCTGGGGACCTAGGCCTGGAACCAAGAGGCAGAGCAGGGAAGGTCTGCTTCTGCAGTCACACCTCTTGCGGGTAGGGGGTGGGGTGGATAAAATTGCAGTGCATGTCAGATTTCAGCAAATCCAGATTAAAGCTGAAAAGATCGGTCTGAAGCTGAATAACAAAACCAGCACTAATTAGGAGGTTCAGCCCCAGTTACAGCTCCCGCCTTGCACCATCCATCATCCATGGGCAAAACCCCACCTTGTTTGTTTATATGGAAGAACAAAGCCGGCATCCCAGGGGTTGGGCCAGAGTCCCTGCCAGTGAGCCCAGGATGTGGGCATCCCACAGCCAGCCACATGTGGGAGGATCCTGCAGGGGCCCCAGTCCCTTGTAATGCAGATCAGGAGGGAAAGGTGGGTCCCCACATCTGTTCAGCTCCTCCTGTGTGCCAGGGACTTCGCTTCTGTCATCTCACGGTGCTCCCAAACCCCAGGAGCACGTGCTCCCTAAACATGTGCTCAGAATGTATGAGCTGCTATTGTTATTATTATTTTAGCCCCGTTTTTTGTTTTTTGTTTTTGAGTTGGAGTCTCACTCTGTTGCCCAGACTGGAGTGCAGTGGCCACTCCCGGCCACCGCAGCCTCGACCTGCTGGGCTCCGGCGATCCTTCCGCCTCAGCCTTCCGAGTAGCTGAAATTACAGGCATGCGCTACCACGCCCGGCTGATTTTTTGATTTATTGTAGAGATGAGGTCTCGTTGCCCAGGTGGGTCTTGAACCCGCGGGCTCAGGCAATCCACTCACCTCAGCCTCCCAAAGGCGCGGGATTACAGGCTGAGCCACTGAGCCCGGCTTTTAGCCCCATTTAACAGACAAAAATGATACACAGAGCAGATGACTAGCCCGGGTGCCCAGGGCCCCACGGCTGGGTTTGAATCTGGGCCCATCTAGCTCATTACCTGGTCCCTTCAGATCATCCTGCTCTCTCTGGTGGTGGCAGCTTGATGCCTTTTATTCCTTGCTTTTGCTTTTCATTACTTTCTGTATTTTGTACTTCAAGTGTTGCTGTGACTTTTTTTTAGCAGAGTTATATATTATATATACATACACATCTCTATGAGAGAAACAGAACGTTACTGTGAGAAATATATACTAATATTGCAAATGCTGCTGATATGTTTTTTCTTCATTTAAACATATACTGGGAACATCCTTATTTATAATTTAAAAATCTTGAAGAACATTGTTTTTAATGAATGTATAGTATTTTACTGTATGATGGTACCATGAGGAGCAAATGCTCTCTTACTGGAAGTTTTAGTTGTTTAAAAATTGATTGCTATTATGAATAGAGCGGTAATGAACATCTTTGTAACTAACAATTTGTATACAATTAAGATTATTTCCTTATATAAATTGTTTAAAGTGGAATTGCTAAGTCAAAAGGTATGTGAACTATTTAAGGTTTTTTTGTGTTTGTGAGCAAATTGCCCATCAGCACGAGGATGGTGTGTCCTCTCCTGCCAGCGTCTGTTTCCCTCACTTTTGCCATCACTGGAGATGATCATTCCAATAAAATATCGCTAATATATACCTGTTGTTTTTTTGGTACTTTTGCAATGGAAAAGTACATCTTATTTAAAGCCATTAAAGTCAGCTTTACAATGTTTTGAAAACTTGAAATGTTCTTCCCACCCAGATGCTGCATTAATACAACTGTTACCACTTTTCCGAATTCCCATCTGGTTTTTTTTCCAGATGTGTCTTTTTGTACACAGATGTCATTATGGTATATAGGCTTTTAGGATTTATTTTACATTTTTTTTTTACTCTTGTCTCTTTTCAAAGGTATTTTCTTGTGGTCCTGTGGTCTTCATATTTATCATCGTCAGGGCTGACATCCCATCAGATTAGGCTGCAGTTCCCAGAACTCTGCCCTGAACTTGGATGCTCAGGCTGTTTACACTTTCTCACGTTGTGGCTACTGTTGTTGGGTACATTTTGGGGCTTAGAACTTTTCCATTCTGTTGAATAATTTCCTTAATTTCTGAGTGATGGGAAGCCTGGGTCAAAGTGTGCAGACGTCTTCAAAGCTCTTGCCTAGCATGGCTGGTTTGCACCCCAAAACACCTATACACATTTACCAAGTTACCGACAATATAGGGGTGAGGCTGCTTCCTCTTCAGATCACTCTCTTCTTCCTAGAAGCTTAGTGCACAAATTAATTTTATTCTGTCATGGTTTCTTGAGATGGGGCGTTGTGGCATGGTGGGAAAGCATGGGCCTTGGAGACAGGTAGATCATCTTCCACATATTAGGTGCTCAATAAATACTTGTCAATTGCATAATATTTACAAAGCAACTACCACATGCCAGAAACTTAAACTATTATTCAACTCTCATTACAATCTGCTTATTGGAAGAATTATTATTTTTTATAATAATAAACAGGAGGTAGCTTGGATTCAGCAAGGTAGAGACTTGTCTCAGTTCTTTTTTTTTTTTTTTTGAGTTGGAGTCTCACTCGGTCTCCCAGACTGGAGTGCAGTGGCCGCTCCCGGCCACCGTAGCCTGCTGGGCTCCAGCAATCCTTCCACCTCAGCCTCCAAGTAGCTGGAACTACAGGCGCGCGCTGCCACGCCCAGCTAGTTTTTGATTTGTTGTAGAGATGAGGTCTCACTGCCCAGGCGGGTCTTGAACCCACGGGCTCAGGCAATCCACTCACCTCAGCCTCCCAAAGGCACGGGATTACAGGCTGAGCCACCGAGCCCGGCTTGTCTCAGTTCTTGGTTAGCTGAATGTTCTCTGGCCAACTGTTTCATATCTTAGCATCAGCCTCCTCATGTGTAGAAGAGAAGTGATAATATCCATCTTGCCATGCTACGGTGAAGTCTAAATGCACTAAATGTGTGCTGCACGTGGCGTGTGTTCTCTGAACAGTGAAGTTCTTTTTGGTTATTTCAGGCAGCCCTTCCATGTAGCCGTCCTGGAGGGATGTTGTCATACAGCCGTCTCATGTATTCTCAGGGGTAAAATGCTGCCTTTTATTTACCTCAGAAGAGTTGCTTATTCTGTTTTAAAATTTCTTTCTGCTTAGGGCATTATAATGTCAACGAATCCCTTGTGAAGCAGTCGCCAAAGATATTAATGTCTTGTTTTAAATCAAAAACCGACCGTGGATTCAAACTGACGTCAACAGGCCCGGGACCTGGTTATTACAACCCCAGTGATCGCACGAAAGCTCCGAAAAAGACTCTTTTTCCGTGAGTCCCAGCCATTCTGATCTTCCTTTTGAAAGGTGGTTCTGGGGAAGGACCCCAACATGGATAAAAAAGGAAGGAGTGTCACTGCTTGGCAGGATTCAGTGCCAGGCCACTCTCTGGGGCCCTTGTTGACACATAATAGGTGCTCATAGATGCTTGTTAAGCATATAATATTTATTGAGCAACTGCTGTGTGCCAGAAACTTAAAATCACATTCAATTATCATAATAATCCTGTTGTAAGAATTAGGACTCTTACTTCATGGAGAAGGAAGCCAGGCTTCAGTAAGGCCAGGAGATTTGCCTAAGTCCACAAGGCTAACTTGAGGTGCTACCAGGAGTGAGCTCAGGACTGTCCAAATTCTTCTACATTCTCCATGATGCCATACTCTTCTGATGTTGACATTATCCTAATTTCATAACACAAACTCTTCCCTGGGGTGGCAGGACATATAGGAGCAGTGACGTTCTCAGGGTTTTGTACATGGGGGTTTAAGCCCAGACTTTGGAGCTGGTCAAACCTGCTAGATTTGTACTTCAGCTCTGCTCTTTTCAGGCTTTGTGACCTTGGGCAGAATTCTAACCTCTCTGAGCCTCTGTGCTCTCATCTGTAAAATGGGGATAGTTTATGCTTCACAAGGTTGCTTTCAGAAATAGAAATGTGTGTTTGCCATAGCAGGTACAAATGGTGACCCATTATTCACAGATTTATTTGTTTATTTATTTATTTATTTAAGTTGGAGTCTCACTCTGTCACCCAGGCTGGAGTGCAGTGGCACACTCACAGTCACCGCAGCCTCGACCTGCTGGTCTTAGATGATCCTTCTGCCTCAGCCTTCCAAGTAGCTGGAACTACAGATGTGCGCCATATGACTGGCTTTTTTAATTTTTTTATTTTTTAATAGAGGTCTTGCTATGTTGCCCAGGCTGATCTTGAACCCCTGGGCTCAGGCAATCCTCTTGTTTCTGCCTCCCAAAGTGCTGGGATTACAGGTGTGAGCCACTGCGCCTGGCTTTATTCACAGATTTTTTTTTTTTAGTGGAAGTCTCACTCTGTCACCCAGGCTGGAGTGCAAAGGCATGCTCACGGCCACTGCAGCCTTGATCTGCTGGGCTCAGGCGATCCTTCCACCTAAACCTTCCAAGTAGCTGGGACAACAGGCATGCGCCACCATGCCTGGCTAATTTTTTGATTTATTGTAGAGATGAGTTCTCACCAAGTTGCCCAGGTTGGTCTTGAACCCTTGGGCTCAGGCAATCCTCCCACTTTGGCCTCCCAAAGTGCTGGGATTATAGGCGTGAGCCACCACGTCAGACCTATTCACAGTTTTGTTTTTTTTTGAATTGGAGTCTCACTCCATCGCCCACTCATGGCCACCCCAGCATTGGCCTGCTGGGCTCCGGCGATCCTTCTGCCTCAGCCTTCCAAGTAGCTGGAACTACAGGCATGCACTACCATGCCTGGCTAATATTTATTGTAGAGACAAGGTCTTGCCAAGTTGCCAGGGCTGGTCTCGAACCTGCGGATTTAGGTAATCCACTCGCCCCAGCCTCCCTAAGTGCTGGGATTACAGGCTGAGTCACCGAGTCCAGCCTATTCACACATTTTTAAGGAGGGATTCGGACCTCAGGTGGAGTCCACCTGGCGAGGCCCTGCTGCTCCTCAGTTCTTGGGCACTGCAGGTTGACCCCGGCAGGGCTGAGACTGTGCAGTCTGGTCTCCAGGGTCAGGCTGTCTCCAGGTGTCAGGGGCTTCCTGCCTCCAGGCTGACTTGGGGCGCCCCCACACGTGACCTTCCCCTTCTATGTTGTGAAAATAGAGTGGCTGAGAGGACAGGCATTGGGGTGAGCGACCAGAGTCTGAATCCCTCCCCTGGTCCTTCCAGAGACATCTCCTCTCCGAGCCTCAGTTTCCATGTTATTAAGTGGAGATAAGAATCTTATCTCGAGGGGATCTCTGAGGATTCGATGAGAAAGTGCTTGAAAATAGCTATTACTCTCATAGCTGTTATTACTCTCTATCCTAGACGTGTTAGGAAAAAGGATGTAGGTGTTATTTGGCATGGCAGTCCAAGCCCCCAGCCCAGATCTGGAAGTGTCTGCAAGAAAAATGGTGAGCTAAGATAGGAGAGTGGAGAACACCCAATTTTCATCTGCTCCACCGTAGAAGTGTTTTGGCTGCAGCTCACTCTGGATGGGTGGTTGAAGCCATTCTCGTTTCACGGTATTTGCATGTGTCAGTCAGCAGGCCCTGTCGGTTTCTAGGCTGTGGGATGCTCAGTGAACAGGACCTTCAGCCAGAACACCCCCAGAGCGAGGAGGCGGGTGTGCAACAGAATGCTGGGCCATGTGCCCTGATGGTATGTGGCCATGCACAAGAGCCAGTCTTCCCAACTGGGGCAATGCAGTGGTGCCAGGGCATCTGGGGCTCACTGGCTCTCTGCTGATGCTTCATAAATAGAAAATCTTTGGTTCAGAAGTCTGGGAAGCACTGCACAGCAACCCTCTATGCCCGGGGGCATCACAGTGTGCACAGGCATTTTAAAAGCTCTGAGAAGGCCTGCAGTAAAGGAACCCAATGTGTCCTAAACTTGGGTTCACCCTGATGGGTGGATGGTGCCCCAGGCTTTACAGCAGGATGTTTGTGTGACTGTGGTCTGGGTTGCTCTCAGCACTTCTCTGGGTCTTCATTTCTCCATGAGTGAAAAGAGGGGTGTCTCTCCATTTCTGGCACATCATGATCCTGGGTCTGCCGGCCATGGCACTCAGGAAGCACACGGGGACAGTGGATGAGAGCCAGCCTGGACCCACACAGGTGGTCCAAGTTATATATTTTAACATTGGCATGGAAGGGGTAGAGCTGAGAAAACTGTAATATGTTTTGAAAGCAAGAAGATAAAACTGGTGTCTTCTGGAGTCTTCTAAAAAGCACCCATCTGCTTACATGCACGATGAAATGATGTCATATAAAGAAGGAACAGCCGAGTGTGGGAGTGCTGAGGGAGGATCCGAACCCCTGGCTCTCAGATTCCAGTTCTGCCTCCTCCATGCTCCTGGCAGGAAGAGAGAGCCAGGAGCCATGTGGGGCTGCGTTCTGTGGTCATGATACCCTCAAAATGTCTGCACTGTCTCCTGCCCATCCACATGTCACTTTTGTTGGGACTCTGTCCACATCAGCCCTCACCCTCTTTAGGTCTCCAGGGCTGAACAGAGTAGGGGGTGGCTCCTCACCAAGTTCCTCTTTTGGAAACACACTCAGCCTGAGCCTCTGCATGCGTGACTGTGGTGGGGACCACCGGGACCACCACTGTCTTGGGTTGGAGTGACTTGGCTCCCATTCTTGGGCAGGGCCACAGCTTACAGAGATCGTGCTCTGGCTCTGCCTTCTCTAGGACGCAAGAGGAGTCAGGGTAAATGTGAATTCTCCCTGGAGTCTCTAGTCCCATATTACTGACTGAAACATGTGAAGCCCAGCAGTGAGAGGGTGGGCGACCTGACGGAAGTTCAGGCAGCCTCCAGAAGGGCGGGGGGGGGGGGGGGGGGGTGGGGTGAGCCTGCCGTGTCTCCTGGGTAGAAATGCCGAGTGTTTTCCATGCAGTCTCACAAGCTAGCCCTCTTATCATCATCATTATTATTAGTTTTGAGTTGGAGTCTTACTCTGTTGCTCAGGCTGGAGAGTAGTGGAACAATCTGCTTACTGCAGCCTCGACCTCCTGGGCTTGTGATCCTTCTGCCTCACCTTAGCTCAAGCTGCAAAGTCAGGGTACCAGGGACCCCCACCCTTCCTGCCTCCAGCCTCGGGGGACTGAACTCCTTCGAATCCACCTTTCTCCTTGCTGAGCTGGGGGAAGAACATCTTGCAAGGACCTAGGAGATGACCCACAGAAACACATGGTAACGTGCATTTTACCAGCACATGTGAGAGGGTCCTCTCCGTTCCCCTGAAGTTGTTCAGGGCAGGTCCTGTGCAGGGGCCAGCCACATGTTGGCACCCGAACTCCTGAGCTCTCTGCTGAAGAGCACGTCACGGGGTGTTCCTTCACTCTGGCCACCTTGCTGACTCAAAAGCTAAGAGGATTTCTCAGCTTCCAGGGTGTCTTTAGAAGCAAAGTGAAGTGTCAGCCAAGGTTTCACTTCTTGAGGTCTTCAGTATCCGTCACAGGGTGACTCAGTGAGTTGATGTGAATCAGGTTGAGGGCTTTGAGATCAAAATAGTTTCTCCTGGGCGCTGCCTCCCAGCTCACGCTCACCAGCAAGGAGGTGGAACACCTAGAGACGTCTTTCTAACTCTTGATCTACATCCTGGAGGTTTAAGCCACTGGATTTGCACAGACACGCTGTCCTGTCACAGCTGGAGCTGAAGAGTCAAGCCCCGCTGGCCCCACTCCAATTTGAGTAATTGCGCTGGACCCACCTTCGGTTCCCCTGGGATTTTCAATTAGACATGGGATGCTTCTCCCCAAGCGGCTGTCATCTGTCACCGCTGCCCTGTTAAACAGATACCGCATTCCACCCCAGAGGCACTCGGCTACCCTTTAATGATGAGAAAAACTGCCCCTTATTCCTCCCGACCCTGGGAATCCCTGAGGCAGAGTGAACCTGTGCCTGGGAGTATCCCCGGGGGTCTGGGATGCCTCCCCCAAGCGGCCTGCTGAGTCCCCAAAGACATTCATTATTCTTGGGTGATTTGCAAGCAGCTCACATTGGAAGCCGAAATCACAATCCAGTTGTGGCCAACTCAGGGTCTTAGATGTTTTCTTTCCACGAGGCAGGATCAGGTTGGCTTTTATAACTGAGCAACAAGGCTCATAAAAGCCCTGTCACAGTGTACTGCAGGCTGCCCTAGGTTGGATCTGGCCTGACCTTTGTGACTTCAGCCTCACCTCGCAGGGAGGGACCAGCCAGGATGAAGATAAAGCTGGTCATGTGAGCCTCAGATGGCTGGCCTCCCTCCCTCACCACAGGCCTTCTGCAGCTCAGCCAGTGTCCCCAGAATAGGGCTGGGGGCCTCGAAGTTGGGGAAGCCCCAAACCCCTCCCTGAAATAGCTAAAGGCCAGTACAACCACATATCTCATGCTGAAGTGCAGAGTGTGTTGAGGGGCAGAGATGCTGAGCTAGCAGCTCTCACGGAGCTTATCTGGCGTGGGCCTTCCAACTCTCCCGCAGCCGGGGGTGCTACAGTGCAGTGCACACTCGCCGAGGCAGTGAAATTGAGATTCAAATCCAGGTCCCTCTGTCTCCAAAATCCATACTACTCTCTTGAGCCACAGGATGGGAACATCCAAGACAGGCAGGTGGGGGGTGGAGGGGCAGGGGTGTGGAGTGACGGGGGAGAAGTTTCTCTGGAGGAAGAGAGGCTGTGAAGAATGATCAGCTTACAGGGAAAGTCAGTGTCCCTGACAAGGAACAGCGCGGGCAAAGGCATGGGACAGTGTTTCTGTCTGGGCACTGGCTTTTCTGGAAGGTAAGATGGGTGCAGGGCGCCCATCTGGAAGGTTAGTATGGACTGAGAGGCCATACAGCACGACGTTTAACTTCTCATCAGGGTCTGTGAGTGGGGAGGCCCAGAAACAAGCAAACAGCCCGGAAATCACGAGTGGATGAGGGCTGACGGCAGTGTGGGTGGCTCCGCCTTGGTCTCCTGCCATGGGGTCACAGCTTTCCCTCTTCCCCTGTGGTTCCCTCTGCCAGAAATGCCCTACCCAACTTTCCCCATTGAAGACTTTCTGCTTACCTTTCAGGGAAATGTCATCTGTTCCAGTGTGGGTTTCTGGATTTACCCCAGTTGGAATTTGTCTGTCTCTCTCTCTCTCTCTCTCTCTCTCTCTCTCTGTTTCTCTCTCTCTGCCTCCTTATCTCTGTCTCTTTGTTTTTGTCTCTCTGTCTTTCCCTCTGTCTCACTCTCTCTCTGTCTCTCCCTCTGCTCTCAGTGCACAGAGTTTTTATCTTTATTCTAACAGATTTCATGTTTTGTTTTGTTTTGTTTTGTTTTTGAGTCGGAGTCTCACTCGACTGTCGTCCAGACTGGAGTACAGTGGCACGCTTCTGGCCACCGCAGCCTCAACCTGCTGGGCTCTGGCGATCTTTCCGTCTCAGCCTTCCAAGTAGCCAGAACTACAGGCGTGCACTACCACGCCCGGCTAGTTTTTGATTTATTGTAGAGACGAGGGCTCGCCAAATTGCCCTGGCTCAGGCAATTCACTCACCTCGGCCTCCCAAAGTGCTGGGATTACAGGCTGAGCCACCAAGCCCAGCCTCATGGTTTTTTTTTTCTTTCTTTCTTTCTTTCTTTTTTTTTTTGTTGAGTTGGAGTCTCACTCTGTCACCCAGACTGGAGTGCAGTGGCCGCTCTCGGCCACCGCAGCCTCAACTTGCTGGGCTCCGGTGATTCTTCCGCCTCAGCCTTCCAAGTAGCTGGAATTATAGGCAGTCGCTACCACGCCCGGCTGATTTTTTGATTTATTGTAGAGATGAGGTCTCGCTGCCCAGGCAGGTCTCAAACCCGCGGGCTCAGGCAATCCACTCACCTTAGCCTCCCAAAGGCACGGGATTATAGGCTGAGCCACCAAGCCTGGCGTTTTTTTTCTTTTTAAGTATTGCTTTTAGTTGATCTTCCTAACAATAGTGGGTGGCAGTTATTGCTATCCACCATTTTTCAGATGAAGAAACCGAGAAGGGAGGTTAAAAGCCTTTTCCAAGGACACACAGTTAGTGAACAGGGAAGTAGAGAGTCACACCTAGCTCTGAGTGCAGACCCTGCATGTACTGCCTGAAGTTGTCACCTTCATGATCAACACCAGTGGGTGGATTGTCGAGCCCTCGAGGGCATTCGGGTCTGTGTCTTAGCACAGAACTGTCTGGATTCCCAAGCGTGCCTGGCAAGGAGCCACACACACGGCTGCAGCTTCTGAGCCTCTCCTGGCACATGAGCCTCTCCTGGCACATGAAGGGGTGGAGGGCAAGGGCCTCTGCACCCACCTTGCAGAGACTGCCTGGAGACACTCATGCAGTGTGCCCCAGCCTCCTGCAGGCTGTCTCTGGCCAGGAAAGCAGACACTCATGGTTTTCTCTAAGAATAAGGTGGGAACCTTGGGCTCAGCATGACCCAGACCAGCGACGGGGTGGCCTCATACAATGATGGGCTCATTCCAGCTCTAATTTCCAGGAATCAAGCCTGGCTCTCTGTGATGCCAGCCAAATACTCATCAAATGTCTGGGGGTGTTTTGAAGGGGGAGCCACAAGCCAGAACATGAAGCCAGCTTGTGTTTATAGGGGAGAGGTTGGGGATCACACACTATAACCAGTTCTTCCATGCAGATTGGAGGGGGAGGAGAGAGGTGGCATCCCCCCCCTTTCCTGTGGATACCTTTGTTCTAAGTATAAGCATCCAAGCCAGCTGTGCCTTCATCACAAGATGTTAGCCTCAAGCACTTTATGATGGCGACAGTGGGTGTGTTCCTGCTCAGCGTGACTCTGTGGGGCTGAATTGCTCTTCTTACCTGAGGTTCAGCTGCTCCTGTGTCACCAAGCAGTGCAAGGCGGCACTTCAGGGACCCTCCTAGAATAACGACTGCTGTTGCTGACCACCTGCTAGGTGCTGGCATCACACTAGGTGCTGTGCACACCTGTTCTCTACCCGTCATAGCTCCCTCAGAACCAGTGAGTGTGGCCACTCCCTGCTACATACACTGGCCCTGAGGGACGGAGAGGTTGGGACTTGTCCCAGGTCTCGCAGCCAATAAGGGCCTGCCTGGGATTCAGAATTAGGTCTGCATGGCTCTCAAGCTCAGTCCCCTCTGCCGCCGTGCTCCCTCCAGATTGCTAGGCACCAGAGACTTGAGTTCTGTGCCAGCCTCCCCAGGGATGTGCTCTGTGACTTGTGATGAGTTACTTTGTCTCTCTGCACATCAACTTCTTAAGCAAACTATGAAATTTGCATGAGGGTCCTTTGAGTTCTCTGGGTTTAAGAAGGTTTTGGCCAAAGGGCAGCAGCAACCCAGTGGCCAGGAATCCCAAGTCCCCTCTTCTGCTTGAATGAGCAGGCTCCCTTGGGCGTTCAGTGCTGAGAACCTTCTCTTCCCTTCTGGTGAGAGGCCTTAGAAGAAGCTACAGGTGTGAGGCAGAAGTGGGCAGCGCTTCTGTCCCATGGTCAGGAGAGTAGCATGACTTCCATAACAACCCCAAAATTCCGTGGCAACCTGGTAGAACTTTAAATCAAGGCCTGATGAAAGGTCACAGCTGGAAGGGACCGCAGAGGACATCTGGTCCAACTCTGATTTTACAGATGGGGAAAATGAGGCCCCGAGTGAGTTAATGACAGCTAGGGCTTGAGTACAGGTCTTGTTTCTCTTTCATTTAATGTTTGAGTGCCAAAGATTAAGGGAGACGCCCTTTTCTGAAAGAGGTAGAAGACAGACCTGAAAACAGTCACAGTGTAAGTGGTGAGTGTCATGCAGAGGTCTCTTGATGTCTAACTCAGTGCGTTTTTACTCCTGCCTCCTGCCTTGCCTGGAAGATATTTAGTAGGATTCTGGAACATCAGTGTTAGAATGAATGACCTCTAGAGATCTGCTTGTTTGGAGATAGCAAATCCCTGGAATGTGGGATGCCTCTTCCCTTTCCCTGACCACATCAGACATCACAAGTGGATCAAAATGGAGCTCATGTGAAGCTCTGATATCACCATGAAGCTCCAGCCAGGCACTACCAATTGATCAGAGTTCACACATGAGATAAATGCTGCCTGCCATTCCTGATTTGCTCAACAGCACCATGTCCAACAATGTGCACTAGGCTTTCACTGTGTGCCAGGTCCTGTCTTGAGTATCAGGTTCCAGGTGCATCATCTCATTTAAGCCTGACACCCTGGCCTAGAGGTAGGTTCTATATTATGACTGCCATGTGCAGCTAAAGAAACTGAGGTCTAGGGCCCCCCAGCTCATTGGAGGTGGGGCTAGGGCTCTGCCTAGATTTATGGGTGCCATGTCCAGTCCTTGTACACACAACTCAGTGCTGTGCAGGCTTTGGGTGTGTCTAAAAACTGGCCTTGCCTCAATAAACTCTTAGTGACATCTCCTAATTTTGTCTTTCCTGAAGGAAAAACCCCATGCTGAACTTCTCTGCCCAGCCTCTGCCTCTGCCCCCAAAGCCGCCTCTCCCAGGACCGGGTCAGTACGAGATCGTGGACTACACAGGACCCCCCAAGCACTTCATCTCCAGTGCATCGTTTGTGTCCAACACCAGCCGGTGGACGGTGGTGTCAGCCCAGCCAGGTCTGCCTGGCCCAGGTCAGAAGATCATTGGAAATGATTGTAAAAACCAAATCTTCTGGAATTGTTTGTCGTTCCTGGGTCATCGAATGCCACTGATTTATAGGCTGTTTGCCAAACAGGTTACAGAGGTGAGAGTAGACTTAGAAGAGTTACCAGCTCACATTTTCAGAGCATAGAAATGTTGGGTTTTTAAGGTGAAAGTCTCTTGGAGAGGACCCAGGCCCGAGGACCATATCCAAGGGTTATACTCAGCTTTTCAGTGAGCACTGATGATGCTCCTGCCCTGGGAGCAAAGAGGACCTGGCCTTGTGTTGGCCCCCAGAGGCTGCAATCTGGGAGGGAGACCTCTTCTCATCCACACTCACAAGTGGGAATCATGTAAGACAGCCCAGACAAGGAGAAAGTCATGCTCACAGCTGTGGCCTTGCAGATATAAGCCTCCCATGAAAACTCTACCATAGGAGGAAACAATTTCAGTAAGTTGAAGTAACTCAATCAGAAGCCATGTTTGACCTTGGTGGAGTTGGGCTTGGAGCTCAGAGTGTCACGGGGCCCCAACCCTTGTCTTTGCACCCACCATCCAAGCAACCTCAGATGCTGCCTACTTGCTAAGGTGGAGTGGTAAGAGGGCACTCTGGGGAAGCCCGCTCAAGCCAGTGTCCCTCAGTACACTGTCCAGCAGCAGAATCTCATTTGACCATGCTATTAGAAGGTTCCTTTCTGCTACTGATCAAACCAGCAAGACTGCAGAAATTTGGCCCAGGGGCCATCTGGTCAGTCCAGGAGAACTCTGTTTTGGCCAGCAAACATGCAGACATTCCATACAGTGGAGTGCTCTGGGGGCCTGGAGACGGGTGGGGACCCCAGTCTGACCCTGTTTGGCCCTGTCCTCCTGGAGCTTTGCCTGAGTGCCACAATGGTGCCAGGCACTTGGCACACAGGGACAGGCACTGATCACCCAGCCAAGGTGGGCTTCTCTGAGGCGCCTCCTGGGCGCATACCTGCACAGGCACCGGCCTGTCCAGCTTCTAGTGGGCACAGATACATCTGAACCACCATGGGCTCCCTTAGCATCTTCCCAAGTACAAGAACATGGAGGCTTTACATGACCTTCATTAACCAAGTGGGTCTCTACAGGAGAGTTTCTGACAACCTGAGACTATGATTCCCAAGCCCTGCTTGGTCCTGGCTGCCTATCTCCTAGAGAACCATGTCAGCAGTTGTCATGGTGTTCACTTTTCTGGAAACTTCTTTTTTTGAGTTGGAGTCTCATTCTATCGCCCAGACTGGAGTGCAGTGGCCGCTTCTGGCTACTGCAGCCTCGACCTGCTGGGCTCCGGCGATCCTTCTGCCTCAGCCTTCCAAGTAGCTGGAACTACTGGCACGCGCTACCACGCCCGGCTCATTTTTGACTTATTGTAGAGATGAGGTCTCGCCAAGTTGCCCAGGCGGGTCTGTAACCTGCGGGCTCAGGCAATCCACTCACCTCAGCCTCCCAAAGGCGCGGGATTACAGGCTAAGCTACCGAGCCTGGCTTCTGGAAACTTCTGAACTAAATCAAAACCCCACCAAGCTAATACCTTGCTTCTTTAAGAATATTGCTGGCCGGGCACAGTGGCTCAAGCCTGTAATCCCAGCACTTTGGGAGGCCAAGGTGAGAGGATTGCCTGAGCCCAGGAGTGCGAGACCAGCCTGGGCAATTTGGTGAGAACTCGTCTCCACAATAAATCAAAAAACAAGCCAGGCGTCGTAGCACGCACCTGTAGTTCCAGGTACTTGGAAGACTAAGGCGGAAGGATCGCCTGAGCCCAGCAGGTGGAGGCTATGTTGGCTGTGAGCATGCCACTGCACTCCAGCCTGGGCGACAGAGTGAGACTCGAACTCAAACAAAACAAAAAGAGTATTGCTTTACTCAATTTCCCCTAAATTTTACAAAAAATGACTGCGGATTTTATTTAATTTTTGCTTTTGTTTTTGTTTTTGAGTTGAAGTCTCACTCTGTCGCCCAGACTGAAGTGCAGTGGCCGCTCCCAGCCACTGCAGCCTTGATCTGCTGGGCTCCAGCGATCCTTCCGCCTCAGCCTTTCGAGTAGCTGGAAGGCATGCACTACCACGCCCTGCTAATTTTTGATTTATTGTAGAGATGAGGTCTTGCCAA